TGGAAATCATAGGGCCCTACTAATGTAGCAAACGAATATGATAAGTTCATTGTTAGAGTAAAAGACGAGGACATTGTTGTTTATTTACTGAGCATTGAGTCTCTTCAACTAGGTGACAATGTAGCGTTAAATCACCATTCAACAGACTCAAGCCACCACCGCACTGTCGTCTATTGGACTGCAGAAAGATACTAACTTTTCAATCTGCTACGTTACTGACTGTACTGACAAACTATGCTGACACACCATGTCTACACTGGACGACCGTTGAAAATCATTTGTGCTTTGTGTCAGTACGTCATAAATCGAACGAGGCATTGGGATTTGTCGTGCTGCATCGCGCCGCATCCAGTGTAGACAGCATTACTGATTATATTGGGTTCTATTGTATTTTGTCGCACCGCTCGCGTCTGGTGTAGACACCCAGTTAAGAAATGTGATGTGACCGATGTGATACGCATTAGTTCTGGGCCACAGCTTGGCCGGTATAAACACAAGCATTGACTTGAGTTGCTGCGATAAGCTCCGGTGGCCGTGGAGCCTTATGCGCCGTAGAAGCGTGCCGTGATGCGCAGATCAGCACTAACGCCACTGAATCTGCTGTTAAAAATTAGCCATCCATTCATCATATCATCATGCAAAACTAAGAATTAGAATCATTGTAATGTGACCATTAAATATAGGTGCGGTGGGTGGCAGGCGGATAATTTATTTGAAGTAGCACACTCGGGTGAAGTTTGAGCTCATCCGCTCATCTCTACACTGACCTGAGCCACCAGTGGCAAACAATGGAGCGCACTCTGCTGGACAAACTAAGTAATTACACCATTTAGAAGCATTTCATCTGCGTTATATGTTCTGTAAAAAAAAATTCATATTGGAGGCATATTCGCCGATACCGATATATCTGCGACAGGCTCATATCGGCCGATAATATCGCCTAAACGATATATTGGTCGGGCTCTACACATTACAGACACTAATAAGTAGCAATGCACAATATATAAATAACTTTATTATATTGATTTTTAAAAATTAATAATTTAATAACACTGCTAAATGTAATCTTTAGCAAATGCCAAAATTCATGTCCATTTTCATACTTTGCATTATAATGCTTTGATGTCTAAATGACTGATTTTACTTTTTAGTGATTAATTTACACAAAAATAGTGTAACATTTTAATATCATCCATCGGTTATCATCTGTAACAAAATTAGTGGCTTATCAGAATCATTTGAATATTGATACATTCCTAATAAAAACATTTATGTTTTAAATATTCATGAAGTAAAAATTCATGTATGTTACTACGTACACAACCGTTCAAATGTTTGGGGTCTGTGCGATTTTTTTTTAAAGGTCCCATATTGTCAAAACTGAAATTTCCTGGCTTTTTTCATGATAACTGAGGTCTAGGTGCTATGTAACTACCACATAAGTTTCAAAACAGTCAACCCACAGTCAAATGCACACAGCCTGCATAAAGTAGCTGTGATTTTTCACGAACCGTTGCGACTTCCGTAAAAAGGTGACGTCAGAACTACTCAGTCAACGCCTTCAGTCACCACCCCGAGCACTGCCCACAGTCCCACTCTCCTTATGCCAAACCCCCAGACAACATCGCGTCCATGCCATTGCTGAGCACAACAACACATTGCCACCGGCGGTAGTGCACGTGACGTCACACACTCTATAACAAGCATAATGCAAAGTTTTGTATACAAGTGTAATAATAGTAACAGTTTCAAATTGTTTTATTTAGACTATAAGTCTATGCTAATTCACAAATTACCTCAAATGCCATACACAGCGGTGCTTGAAAAAAAAAACATGAATTACCATTCTGAAACATCCTGTTGTAAGCGCATTTGAGGAGGTGGTTGGTTGTCTCCTGTCGTCGCCGATTCGGGGTCTGAGTTCGGTTCAAACATGTAAGGCCGGACAACATTTCCCTGCCAGTGACCATCATTACCGGTGTTTCTATTGACCTTACTTGTGAGTATCACCAATCCACAGCAGGCTACAGCATACATGACCCTAGTTACCTGTGGTTGGCCTGGCCGTGTGTCACTCAGAAAACAACAGGCCAATCAGAAGAGGGGCTCATGGATATTAATTAGACAGGCCAAAATCGGCCTGTTCTTTGCAGAGCTCCTGAGAGAGGAGCTGTAAAAATATATTGAGATGGTTTTTGGTACTTATACCGCAAATATATATTCTTAAGGACATCAAGACTTAAAATAAAACTCCAGAAAGGTGTAAAATATGTGACCTTTAATGTTTTTGAAAGATGCCACTTATGTTAATCAAGTCGGCATTTACTCGATCAAAAATACAGTAAAAACAGCAAAACTGTGAGATATTATTACAACTTAACTGTTTTCTATTTGAATATATTTTAAAATGTAATTTATTCCTGTGATGTAAAGCTGAATTTTCAGCAGCCATTACTCCAGTCTTCAGCGTCACATGATCCTTCAGAAATCACTCTAATATGCTGATTTTGTGCTCAAGAAACTTTTATTATTACTATCAATGTTCAAAACAGTTGCACTGCTTAATATTTTTGTGAAAACGGAGACATATTTCCCAGGATTCTTTGATGAATAAAAAGTTCCAAAGAACAGAATTTATATGAAATCTTTTGTAACATTATAAATGTTTTTACTGTCACTTTGATCAATTTATTGCATTATTTCTGAACAAAAGAAAAGTCTTCATTTATTTAAAAATAAAATCTTACTGATCCCAAACTTTTGAACGGTAGCATACATCAAAGGACAATATATCTAACAAATCAGTCAACAAATAACATGCATGTATATCTAACCAGCTATGACATGTCCATGACACTGATGTAAAAGTGCTTATTATAGCAGCAGACAGTGGCGACTACTAACAGAGCAGCATAGAGTGATAACAGAAGGCTAGTCACCTTGTTTTTTTGCTGTCAGTTTCATGGAAACCACATCCGAGCCAGCGTTGGGCTCACTCATGGCCAAGGCACCCACATGCTCCCCTGTCATTAACTGAAGCACAAACATATGCATAATTGTGAAAAAACAACTGAACCCTAAAATCCATAAATAACCTAAATGCATTTAATTAGTTTCCATTTACAGTGCAGAAAATGGATTTTCTCTAATGCATCATGTCAGGGGTCGGTTTTTTTAAAGCTAGTTTAATAGAAAACGTAATAGACAGCAGTTGTTCTGCTAAATGAATAAATGTTTTGACTCACACCTTCGGCATGTACTTCTCTTTCTGTTTCTGATTAGCATGTCGAACCATCTGATTTACACACAAGTTGGAGTGCGCGCCATAGCTGAGAGCAATAGCTGCTGACACACGGGAGATCTCCTCCATAACAATCACATGATCAAGATAGCCCAATCCTGTTCCACCGTACTCCACTGCACAAATGGATAAAAACATCACAACCTTTGCTCAATAATATGCTCAATATTTTTTCATAAACAATATTTTTTAAAGACAGCCTGTAAATGGTCCAACCTGGAGCAGTAACTCCAAGCAGTCCAAGCTCACCCATCTCCTTCCAAAACTCCTGGTTAAAAAAAAAAGATCAGAATGAATTACTCAGGATTATTACAAAGAGACTCTGTAATGATACTTGTCATGTACAGGAACTCACCCTCATGCAGGGAAACTCGTTTTTCTTATCAATCTCATCAGTGTAAGGAGCGAGTTTCTCCTGACAGAATCTCTGGATTGTCTGTCTGAGCTGGTGTTCAAAACAAAGATGTATGATAAATACAGGGCAGACTGTCCACAAATAACCTGAGCTGCCAAAAACCTCAACAAAACAATTTCATGATGCTAACTGTACATTTTTAGCATAAAATCCCTTACAAAAAAATAAAAATAAATAAATAATAATAATACAGTGGCAGTAATGTCATGGTATAGTAATGGCATCAATAACACTGTGCTGCTGTGTGCTATATTCATACACTGTGGTTTTTTCATGGTGCTTCAAAGATTATCAAGGTATTACAGTGACCTACATACCAAGGTTTTACCTTTTCTCTGAGTAGGCATGGAAGGCCAAATCAAAACAAATATTACCAAATATTAGATCAAATGTATAAATTCAACTCATTTTTGTAAGTAGTCCTGTCCAAAAGTACCTTTATGCCTGCAGGTAGTGTTGTCATGGTACCAAAATTTCAGTATTCGGTACCGATACCAGTGAAAATCCACGGTTCTCGGTACCAATTTCGGTACCAAAGCAAAACACAAAAACATGCTAATTGAACAACATTTTTATTAATAACGTAAAACAAAAATTAAATGTACAAAACCAATGCCATTCTTTACTTATTTAAAAGTGTTTCAAGTTTTCCCACAAGTAATAAAAGTATGAAAAAAGTAAACAACGGATAAAATACGCATGTTTTGGCGGGGTTTCCCTGGTAAAAATCGCATTCCAGGGGCTAAATATCACGTTAGTGGGGTCGTTTTTCAACCCGCGGACATGAAAAACAACCCGCGGCAACAGTGTTAAAGCAGCCCAATTCCGTGGGAAAACCGCGGACTTGGCAACACTGGAAGAGGATAGCTTTTAGATAGCGCATCAAGAACCGGGTTGACCGGGTACTCGGTACCACCGGTACTTAAGAAAACCTGGTACCGTAACGTTTTCATTTTTTTAGTACCGACTTGGTACCGAAATACCGGGTCTTTTGACAACACTACCTGCAGGAATCCAGTTACAGAAATATAGTTGCAGAATTTAATAAGTAATAATATGAAAAGTAATTTTTGATAATTAACAAAAGTCAAATACAGTTAGTGCTGATAAATTAAAGATATATAAATCACTGATGTGACTTCGTTTTAATTAAATGTATACTATATACTACACTATATGTACACCATTCAAACGTTTGGGGTCAGTAAGATTTTCAATGTTCAATGAAAGAAGTCTCTTATGCTCATCAAGGCTAAATTTATTTGATCAAAGTACAATAAAAACAGTAATATTGTGATTTTTTTTTTTTTCCAGAATTACAACTTTAACGTTGATCTATTTCAATATTTTTAAAATGTAATTTATCCCCTATGAAGGCAAAGCTGAATTTTCAGCAGTCATTACTCCGGTCTTAATGACCCTTCAGTAATCATTTTAATGTGCTGATTTGCTGCTCAAGAAACATTTCTTAATGAAACGTTGAAAACGGTTCTGCTGCTTAGTATTTTTCTCAGGTCTCTTTGATGGCCAAAAAGTTCAAAAGAACAGCATTTATTTAAAGGGGTCACATGATGCTGCTAAAAAGAACATTATTTTATGTATTTGGTGTAATGAAATGTGTTTATGCGGTTTAAGGTTCAAAAAACACATTATTTTCCACATACTGTACATTATCGTTTCTCCTCTATGCCCCGCTTTTCTGAAACGCGTCGATTTTTACAAAGCTCATCGGTCTGAAAAAGCGAGGTGTGCTGTGATTGGCCAGCTATCCAGTGCGTTGTGATTGGCTGAATACCTCAAGCGTGAGACGGAAATGTTACGCCCCTTTCGCTTTCACAACGAAGCACACAGCGTCTTTACGACATGGCGTCGGCAACAACAAAACTACAGCGCGAATAAAAATTACGCCTTCTTTATTTGCGTGAACATTTGGGCGCCGTTATGCAAATCTTCCCACATAGTGATGTAGACATGTGGGGGCGTGTTAGAACGAGCCGTTTTAGGTAGGCGTGGCTGACTCTTAACTTTTATAAAGAATATCTCTTTGGATTTGAGACTTTAGTCTTTGCAACTTTACAGATCTTCTTTATGCATCAAGAGCTTGTAACACTCCAAAGAGAAAGGAAAAATTGAAATCGCATCATATGACCCCTTTAAAATATAAATATTTTGTAACATGATAAATGTCGTTATTTTACCTTTGCTGAATATAAGTATTAATTTCTTTTTAAAAATACTGAACTTTAGACTTTTGAACGTTACTCAGATAGCACACATACGTCTGCAAGATGACTGTTAAAGATCGCTTCATCTGGAAAGCATCTGATGTGTACAAACATCTGATAGACGTCTTTAAGAAGTCAGTTTTACATACATTCTAAATCATAAACATCCTAAAGATATTTTCTAAATGTTTTCTAATGCATCTTGCAGATGTCAAATAGACGTCTCCATGAGGTGTGCTATCAGGGTACTGTATTAAAATACACAAAAGTGTAAAGAAACAGGTTATTTCATACACATTTAACATGGACACCATTATAACACAGAAGAGAACTGGATCATTAATTTATATTGGACTAAGAGGGACAGTTGCCTCCTCATTTCAGAACTGATACATGTCCAAAACACCATGAGAGTACCATGTCCAAACGGATGCAACATATCAATAGCAGATTTCTGTAAGTGGTGTAATGACTTTCCAGTGGGTTTCTATCAAAGCTAATAAAGGACATATATAATGATCCTGTCCAATCAAAACGCGCCGTCCGTTCACACCCACACAGCATGTCCATTTAGCATAGGCAGCATAGAAAGTATGTCAGTCTATCATACATTAAAACCTTAAAAATATGTAACTTTTAAATGTAACTTCTAAATGTACTCAAATGTTCCGATTTCAAGGTTGGATCTGTATTTTGTGTGTTTTTAATGTCAGGTCAGGAACACGACAGCTCTGCAACAGTTTCCTGGCCAGTGTGAATGATGCTCTTATTGAACGTGAATATAATTGCGTTATACTGATAAATGCCTGGCAACGACACAAATACAGTCTGAAGTTCCTAGAATTTAGTCAAAGGTAATCGTGTATGCTAGCACAGCAAACTAGCTCATCCCTGCGAAACTTGAACAAGACTAACAAGAAACGGAGACAGCTTTGGCTCCAGGTTACAGACGCGGGTGTGTGGGATACCTGGATCTGCTCCTCGGTCAGACCGTTCACGATGTCGTCCACTGTAACAGCTCCAGCACATCCACGACGCGAAACACTGACATTTGCCACTCTTTGACACAGACGCAATGCTCTTCTGACAGCAAACATTTTGGGAATTGTAGTGACTGTAGATAGTGATGGGACTATTGATATCGAGGCTCCGACGCAGTTTTCAAAGCACTATTGTATCACACAAAGTGCCGATGCTTGTATCGAACAGATGACAATACCACGTGATTTGTGACGTTCTAAGCTTCGAATGTCACGCAGTATCGGAAGATCGGTCGCTGGTTTGAAAAAAATGGGCGCTTCGCATGACTCTTGTGTTTGACTTTACATTGACTTGGTTGTGTGTGCGTGTGTGTGTGTGTGCGCGTCTGTGTACACTTATTTGGGATTCAGTAGAATAGTTTAGAATAACCTCAACACCAGACAGAATCTGAAAGCACGTCACACCTCTATTGCATTTGATCATGTTCTAGCTGGGGTCTCAGAGACCCCGAACCGCTCACCCAAAATATTTTTGCTACTACTCACGTCAATTATTAATTATAATCACACACTTGTATATTTTATATTATTGATCAATATGTGAATCCATTGACCGGACTACGCATGACCAGTGTGGCGGCTCCCCAGCAAACATGTTAATGTGGGGCCCAAATGGGTTTCACATGGGCTACAGGGGTACAGAGTGGGCATGGGCATAAAATGGGCATCTTATCTGGGGCCCACTTGGGTGACCCAGCTAGGACCCACATGGGTGAACCCAGGTGGGCTCCCCATGTGGTTCCTAGTTGGGTAATTAATGGGAAATTTGTGCATGGGCTCAAAATGGGCTACACATGGGACCCTATTTGTTTTATCAAATATACAAGTGCAAACATAATTAACATAATTAAGGGTGATTACATGGATATATATATAGTGCACATATGTGTCTTTAAAATTATTTTTGTTGTTTTTGTTGTACTTGGATTACTTAATCAACATCTAAAAATTCCGACACTCCTGCATTTGTACACAATTTTCCACTGACATTTAGCAAAAAAAAAATGCAGCCACTTTAATTGTGCTGACAACTTTCTCGCGAGATCCCATCCCCCCACCACCTCTCCCTCTCTCTTGTTCGAGATGCTTCGGCACTTCACAGAACGATCGGCGTATGACATCAAACTACCGCGAGACGCAGCCCCTCCTCGATCTGCATGGGACAGATCCCGCGTGATTTCATTCAGCATTTCCCATCCCCCACCCGGCATGCGCTGAATCACGCCGGCGCAATTATTCACTGACCGCTTTGCTGTAATTTTCGGGAGGAGAGGAGACGTTTGCCATCAGTGTATCCAAGGTAAGAATTACAATTTTAAAACTTAAAATGTTGAGCATGTAAATACATTGTTTACAAACCATAATGTTAACCGAAACATAGTTTGGCTTTTTGTCACGTTAAAATTTAGACATCATACACAGCTCGCGCCATATTTTCCTCTTATTTCTGGCGCCAATGTCTAAACGATAATGCTGTATGTCTTTGTGTTCCCTACGCCCTCTAAAAGTTAAAGACACTAAAAAAGCTCATACTTAAACTGCAAAGTTTGGCACCGGGCTGTGTGCTCACGATACAGGAAGATTACAACGAAGAGGTCAAATGGCTTATATAGCAGAGAAGCTAGTGTAAGCTAATCTAGTGTAAATAAGGTAGCCTGGGACAGATGTCGATTTGAAGAGTAAACAATAAGGCTGTTGTACTTTTAACAATACATAAAATACAATAATATTACAACAATACTTAATATTTATCATGCAAACAGGAGTTTCTGCCTTATATAAATCTGCATCAGTTTGCATTTGGGTGTTATTATAAATCATACAAATTGTTATGACTATATAAATGTTTTTGATTAAATTAGAATTTAAATTTTTTTAATTAATAAGCATTTTTTTCTTACAGAAAGTAATTGGACGGTCTCGGATGTTGATGCAATGGAGCAGCAATTGGCAGACCCTACCTTCCAGAAAGTTGTAAATGTACAAGTTGTAATGGTCATGTTCAAATTATTCCAATGAAACCTTGCTTAATAAAGCATGCAGAATACAAGTTCTGAAGTTGTTACAAGAAATAA